TCATCATGTTGGCCAGGCTGGTCTTGAACTCCTGGCCTCAAGTGATCTATCTGCCTCGGCCTCCTAAACTCCTGGGATTACAGGCATAAGCCCCCACATCCAGCCTCCAGACCTCATTTTAGCTTCCATTTTAATTACATTTGTAAAGATCCTATATGCAAATAAGGTCACTGCTACATCCCTGTGCTGGGTAGGCTAGATGACAGATTAGGACTAGAGCATGTGGCTTTTGTGGAATACAATTCAACCCCTTAACTTTCTGATTTTTCAGCTCTTTGAACAGATTCTCTAGTTGTCTTTGAGGGTGTTTTAAATACATGCCCTCCAAAAAGAGACGATGGTGTAAATAGACTGACTTTGGGGTTGTTCCCTGCAGAGTCATAGCTCCCCTGTGTCAGGCACAGCACGGGGCTCTCTGAACCTTACATTCAAGCCATGGCTTGTGTAGTCCTGAGGCACTGCCTGTACATCTGGTTACCCAACTTCTGGAAGGATCCAAGACACTTGGGGAAGGTCTAGGAAGATAGTGGCACAGAAGGCCTGTTTTCCACAGGCAGGCTGATGAGAGATCTGTGTCACATGCAGAGGGAATCGTGGCAAAGGTAAGTGTGGGTCTGCTCCCGCAAGCCTCACATTTTCAGCTGAGTCACAACAGCAAAAGTCCAAGAGAGAGACCAGAAGAAGCTGTAAAGCTTGGGGTGGCTCAGGCTGGTATTACGTATAGGTTCCAGAGAATGAAGTCTAGCCTGTGAGAGGCCCATAGCACTGCCCTTTGGAGGATCAGCACGGAGATCATTAGGTCTCCCTCCAGCCCAGCTTGCATGGCACATTGCCCTGTCAACGTAGAGCAAAGTGGAACATGGTTCTTAACTTTGGGAAGAAATCTTTTATTGGAAAACTTTGAGGGACTTGAGGGATTTTTTTTTGGACCTCTTTATATCACTTCATATTTCCAAATCACTTTTGATGAGCATGTATTTTCCTGTGACTTCCAAATAATTAGTAAGGGAGATCTGGAGTAGCTCTCCCAGCTGATGTGCTGTTTTCTCACCTTCTTTAGACTAATTCAGTTTATCAACCATTCCTGGCATTGGGGGAGTACAAGAGCATCCCAGAACAAGTCTCCACCTTCGCAGAATCTAGAATCTTGAAAGGCGAACAAAGCCAACAGATGTGAGCAATTAAGAAGTAGAACAGGACAGTATCCCTCAAATCCAAAGCATATAAAATGAAGGCTGGGAGCCTGAAAAGTGCAGTGTGGGTCAGGGTGAAAGTTAAGCTTCTGTCTGGTGTCTGCACTTGAGTTCCAATGGAAAGGGTCCAACCTTAGTAATAAGGTTGGAAGAATAAAAGGAGGAAGAATGTCTTACCAATCCCTCTTTTGCTCTAAGTCTTGCTCTTCCCCACTGGTGTGGGTATCAGGAGGGGATGGGCGGTGGTATAACTTTTGTAGGCAGTCCTAGGGGCTGCTGCAGATGGCCTAGTTTATTACCCTAACTCTGCTGGGACCTGCAGTCAGCACTGTCCATGGTCGCCACCCCTTTATAGCCAGGCCCTGATGCTACCCAGCCACAGAGCCTGAAGGTTGGACCATCCCTGTTAACACCTGTGCTGGGGTGGGCAAGAGGCCTCCTCCACCATGAAGCCACCATGCATGAAGAAGACACTGGGCACAACTCCCTATGAGGGTTCCCAGCCTCAACCCAATCTCACCTATGAGCCATCTTTGAGGTTCTGTCCCTTCCTCATTCATTGGTCTTCAGTCTCTGGACACCTTCCCTCCCCAGCCTGACTCATCCCAATGTTCTCACAAGCAACCAGCATTGTCCCAGACCAGGTAGGGTCTCCCAGCCAGAGCTGCAGTCATTGACAGGCTGACTCACTCCAGAGCTGCCTTTCTGTCTTCCCTAAAGCCCATTCTCACCAGTTAGGTCTTGAGTGTCCATCTTTTTGCACTAGTCTTTAAATTGTCACCAGCAGCTTGAGGCCTGCACACCAGCCTGGTTACACTCAGCATCACTGCATCCGCCTGGGATGTTTTCAAACACTTTTGTAGCTGATTGGCTCCCAGGGCCCACTGGAGGCCCTGTGTGATCCCAGGTAGAACATCCCCAACTGGGCCGTCAGAGCCTTGCACACGGGGCCAGCGTGGTGCCCTTTTCCTTTCCAACTATCTTGGATTGGGCACATGCACACTGCCCCACACTCAACTCAGGAGGTTGATTTCTCTGTCTCCATGGGGGATACCTGTATGTGGGGACTCCACCTGCACTCCTCCTGATATCAGTGTCCTGCAGATGGCTCCTAATTCTGCGCCCCAGCCGAGATCTTCACTGCCTTCTCCTAGGCTGGGGCCCATGCCAGCCAGTGTGACTTCCTGGCAGACTCTAACATATTGGCATATTGCCAACCCAGGGCCCAGCTTACATACTAGTAGTCCAGCAAATTCAGAGGGCTAACTCTATACAAACCATGAGCCCAGAACAACTTCAAGGAAACACAGCCCCTTTCTGCCATGGGGTATGGGAAAAATTAGCATAGAACTGGAGCCTTACAGACGTGGACAGAGATTCCCAGCTCTACAGCTTACTAGGTCTGTGACTTAAGCAAGACATATGGGCCCTCTGAGCCCCAGTTTTTTCAATTGTGACATGGGAGAAAGGCATACCTACCTTATAAGGTTTGTGTGAAAATTAAATGAGCTGCTGTATATAGCGTCTGGCATCCTGCTTGATACATGGTAGCCCCCACAGATATTAATTAGTTCTCTTCTTGTGGGATGCCTCCAGCCTCAGACTATGTGTCATCATTATGGGGATATAGAATTTCATCTCTTTTGTTTTTCACATCTTTCTCTGCATACTTTTCCATATCTATCTTTTTTTTTTTCTTTTTGAGACAGAGTCTCACTCTGTTGCCATGTTGGAGTGCAGTGGCGTGATCTTGGCTCACTGCAACCTCCGCCTCTCTGGTTTAAGTGATTCCCCTGCCTCAGCCTCCAGAGTAGTTGGGACTACACGTGCGTGCCACCAAGGCCAGCTAATTGTTTTTTTTTATTTTAGTAGAGACGGGGTTTCACCATATTGGTCAGGATGGTCTCAATCTTCTGACCTTGTCATCCTCCCACCTTGGCCTCCCAAAATGCTGGGATTACAGGCATGAGCCACTACGCCTGGCTCCATATCTATCTTTTTTAATGGTGGCATTCCACTGGGAAAATGCACCATGAAAATTTACTGAATCATCTCTCTATTGAGAGAAATTTTAGTAGTTTTCAGTTTCTAGTTGAGCACACGTTGCTTTTGTGTTCTGCAGAGTTGCTTCTGCAGGATAAAATTCTCTAGTGTGGCATTACTGGGTTACAGGGTAGGCACATCTCCAAGGCTCTTGTTCAATATGGCCAGATTCCCTGCGGAACACTGAGCTGACTCCTGTATTCCTAGCAATGCACCAGTAGGCCTTGTTTCTTTTTGGCATTGCTGATTTTTTATTGAATACTTTTTTTTTTTTAAAGCTTTTTGGATAGAGGCATGTTAGGTTAAAGGTGACAAGCCATTGAGGTTTTTCTGTTTTATTTATCTTGCTAGATTAATAGGTGTCTAGTGATATCTCAGGGTGGTTTTTCTTATAATTTTTTTTAACTAATTTTCTTCTTTTTTTTTTTGGTAGAGACAGAGGCTCACTGTGTTGCCCAGGCTGGTCTCAAACACCTGGCCTCAAACGATCCTCTTGCCTTAGCCTTCCAAAGTGTAAGGATTACAGGGATGAGCTACTGGACCTGGCCTTAGGGCAGTTTTAATTTGCTTTTTCTTTAATTATTAGTGAGTATAATCTTCTCTGATGTGTTTGTTAGTTTTTTAATGATTTTCTTTAGGTGTTAATCCTCTCTGTGGGTATTGACTTGTGAACTTGTTTTGACTATACATTTTGTATAGCATGAATTGGTCAGCTTCATAGTGTGTATTTTCTCTTTTTCATTAAATTTAATTAATTTCATTTGATTCTATTCTGTGTTCTTCAGGAATCTTAGTTTTTATATAGTCCAACCCACGTATTCTGCTTCCGTCATTAAGAATTCATAGTGGGAGAGGCCGGGTGCGGTGGCTCACTCCTGTAATCCCAGCACTTTGGGAGGCCAAGGCAGGTGGATCACCTGAGGTCGGGGGTTCAAGACCAGCCTGACCAATATGGAGAAACTCCGTCTCTACTAAAAAAAAGACAAAAAGTTAGCCGGGTGTGGTGGCACATTGCCTATGATCCCAGCTATTCAGGAGGCTGCGGTAGGAGAATTGCTTGAACCTGGGAGGTGGAGATTGTGGTGAGCCAAGATCATGCCTACACTCCAGGCTGGGAACAAGAGCAAAACTCCATCTCAAAAAAAAAAAAAATTCAAAATGGGAGAAATAGGTTGTTGCCTTTTCTCTGGAATGCATGGGGCAGGGCTTTTTCTTTGTTCTNCTCTGTTGCCCAGGCTAGAGTGCAGTGGCACAATCTCAGCTCACTGCAACCTGCATCTCCCAAGTTCAAGTGATTCTTCTGCCTCAGCCTCCTGAGTAGCTGGGATTACAGGTGCGTGCTAATACACCTGGGTAATTTTTTCTTTTTTTTTGAGACGGCGCTTTGCTCTGTTGCCCAGCTAGAGTACAGCAGTGCGATCTCAGCTCACTGCAACCTCCGCTGCCCAGGGTTCAAGCAATTCCCCTGCTTCAGCCTCCTGAGAAGCTGGGACTACAGGTGCCTGCCACCACGCCTGGCTAATTTTTTGTATTTTAGTGGAGAGAGAGTTCTGCCATGTTGGCCAGGCTGGTCTCGAACTCCTGAACTCAAGTGATCTGCTGGCCTTGGCCTCCCAAAGTCCTGGGATTACAGGAGTAAACCAACGTGTCCGCCAGGGCTTTTTTTTAAAGGAGTGATTGAAGTCTGCTCATGTCCCCTGCCACATGGGTCTTACGCAGGTCTGTTCTCTGTCCCAGGTCTGCCACGTGAATCTGGAGGGGCAGCCGTTCTACTCTAAGAAAGACAGACCCCTGTGCAAGAAGCATGCACACACCATCAATGTGTAGGCGGCCAAGGCCGCCTGTGCTGACAAGGACCGGAGCTGCTCCTGCTGCTGGCAACAAAGGATTCGGGAGGCTGATGTTTCTTCTGGGGGGAACGGGGAGAGAGAGGAAGTGACTGAGCCCTTTGGAAGTATAATTTTAGGTTTTTTTCTTCTGTACACAGATCATGTATTTGCATAGTTCAGACTAGGAGCCAAATGAAGATTCAAAACCAAGTTAGTTATTAATCCAAGACTGGAATTGTACTTCAGATGTTTAGAGCAAAATTCCAAGAACTCAAAAGTGAAAAGCAACAAGCAGCTTTCCCAAAGCGATACACTTCCTGCGGTCACCAGAGGAGGACAGAGCTCAGAGCAGCTGTGGAGAATCTGAAGCATTCTGTGGAGTTCTTAAGCGCTCCCCTGGCAAACAAATTGAAGTGCCAAACAGCACTCGCTGCAGGGTATTTTTAGAGTCATAGCTGAGAGCTTGTTAGCTAAGACCCATTGGGCTTTCCTCACCAAAAAAGGAAGTGTTATTCCATTACTAGCATCATGGAGCTACCTCTGCGCATCAGACTTCAGACCTTGAACAAACTTGAAACGTTCTAATGGGAGCCCGGACGTCCAAAGATATGTCTTCTGGGAGCCACTGGGCAATTGCCAGGCTCCAGGAAGGGCTGCAGCTCAGGTTGCAGACAGCTGAGAAAAGATGGCCCTGTCAGCCACCCTCTCTCAGTCTGAAACATCCAGCGTCCCCAGAGGGCTTAGCTCCTTTTTGAATTGCGATGGGAAAGTAGAATTGGGTTTTTCCAGTTTTGCTTTGCAGTGTGTGAGAGATTTTTTAAAAGGCTCTGGGTTGTCTTTGGCCTTTGTTTAGCTTTTAGAGGTACGTTAGCATAAGCGTCCAGTCGTGTGCATGAATTTCACTCCAACCTGTGACTGGTCACTTATGATGTCTCCCCCAGTACCTTCCATCTCAAACAGGCTTGGTGGCCTGTGGAAAAGAGAGACACAGAGACAGTGTCTGAAACAGGATGGCAGAATAGGCTCACAGGTCCAAACTCTGGGTGGGGAAGAGGAAACTTACTTTCTGCCACCCTCAGTAAGAACACACGAGGAGACAGGACCTCCCACCTTCAGGTCTGTACCATCCTTTTCAAATGTTCCTTTAAATGCAGCACATTGAGTATGTACGATTGTGTTAACTGCTATAAGGAATAGATGCACTGATATATATGCATTTGCTGTTTTGGCCAATATTTTGAAAATGTATGAGCTGAGTTGATGAGCTATTATTTAAGTATTTATTGAAGTAGACTTGGGCCTTCAAACTTCTTTACAATACTTGTGATAGTTTGAGTTAGGTAAGCATCTTAAAGCTGTCTGGTGATAAAGAAGGCAGCTTAGATTCTGCAGTTGGAAATGGAATAGTCACTTTCCTTTTTAGGAAGCTCTGTTAATATGAACATGGCATTGAAGCAGGCGGTTTGCGTGGATGTTTCTCACTTGAGCACGATATTTAGGGTCTTTTCCAACTCACTCTACTCTGTCTTCGCTCCCGTTTTTGATTTTTCTCTTTGCACGTTTGAATTGTTTTATGGGAATGCATTAGAATTCTTTTCTTCTAAGGACTGAGACTTCCAGGGGACTGCCATCTTACACGAGTGTCTCTTCTCCAAGCAGGAGAAGGAAGCAGCTAGCTGTGTCCCTAGCAGGAAGCCCCTATTTTTTCCAAGCACAAAGCCACCAATCTCCCCCAGGAAGCACCAGGGAGAGACATGAATGTGCTCCTGCCACAGGGCCATTCCTACCTTTGGATCTGCAAGAAGGTGAATACAAGCACCAGGCAGAGCTGGGATTACCTGGAGATTTGTCAGGAGTTGCAGACAAGTGCCTTGGAGCATTCTGTGATTTTCAGAAAGTTCAAATGGGCAGGAACAAGGAGGTTGCTGACTGTACAGACAGGCTCTAAGTAGTTTTCTCCAAAACCTGTCTATTCAGTTATCAGGGACTGGTCTTGAGGAAAAAAAAGTTCCCTAGAATTCAGTTTCCAAAATCTCTTTTTAAAGATTTTACACACACACACACACACACACACACACACACGATCATTAAAAAGTGTATGATCATTAACAAGAAAAGTGAAATATCTCCAAGGACAGTTTCACCACAGTCCTTTATTACATTTCTACATTTCAGAGCACGTATAGATTCTGAGGGACTCTTATTTGCCAGAAAAAAAAAATTTAAAAAAGCAAAAAAAAAAAGGTAGCAGGAAAAGAAGGTAGTTTTGAATGCGGTTCACTCAGTGTCTGTGAGTCTGGTGTAGTGTTAGGAGTAAGGCTATCTAGTTCAAGTTTACATTGTGGATGTCCTATAACGCCAAACAACATTTTTCGTAATCCATGGTGGGGAGCACAGTTTGAAGCTACAGTTCCTGTCTCCTCATTGCTGACATTAATTTAACATTTATAGGCCAGGTGCAGTGGCTCACGACTGCAATCCCAGCACTTTCGGAGGCCAAGGCAGGTGGATCACCTGAGGTCAGAAGTTTGAAACCAGCCTGGCCAATATAGTGAAACCCCATCTCTACTAAAAATACAAAAATTAGCCAGATATGGTAGCAGACGCCTGTAGTCCCAGCTACTCAGGAGGCTGAGGTGGGAGAATCTCTTGAACCCTGGAGGCAGAGGTTGCAGTGAGCAGAGATAGTGCCACTGCACTCCAACCTGGGCATCAAGAGTGAAACTCCATCTCAAAAACAAAAAAGAACAAAAAATATTTATAAACATTTTGCAATGGAGTGACTTTTATCTGCAGTGTTTGTGTTAGGAACCTAGCTTTTATAATGTTAGCTTTTTAACCCAGTATTCTGGCTTTCGAATTTTTTGTTTTGTTTTGTTTTAGTAAGATTTCGTAAGTGGAATGTAGCCTGTTAAAGGTGTGCACAAAAATATTTTGCATGTGTTTTTTTTTTTTTTTTGGCCTGTGTGAATTCTACTTTTTAGCAAAAATAAAGCCCCCGAAAGGATGTGCAAATACGGATTTTTCTGTGTAAAGTTTTTTCATGTACTTCTATATGGCCACAAATAAAAGTTGGAGACAAAACAAAATATCCTGTGGGAAAAAAACACAGCTCTGCTTGCCCTGATGCTCAATAGCAGTGTAATCACTGTGTTTAAACAGACAAGGCTGTGTGAATAACATGAATGTTCTGCATACAAAGGGAATTACCAGGAAAATAATAAACCGAAGACCTTATCTTGCATTATATTTTCAGAACAGTTTGTTTACTTAGCTACTTGGTGGTCAAATATTTCCAATTAATTTATTTTTATTCTGCCTGAATGGCTTCATTTCTAGAAGAGTTGCCATATTTCCTCTTACATCATTTGTTTTCAAATAAGTTCAGAGTAAAATCCTCTCATAGCATTTTTTTTCTTTTTAATAATGAGGACCCCTCTGAGGGCACTATGTTTAACAAAATCAAACTCATTCTTTTTTAAGGTATTCTGTTTCTAGGAATTACTGAAAAGTAAAGGGAAGTTGTACATACTGTATATGATTTTTAGCACCTGAATCAGACTTTGAAAGAGCTGTGCAATTACAATCAGAATCACATCTCATGATTTTAGTACTTCTTAAAGCTATAGCAATTTTAAAAATAGATGATGGAGGGCCAGGCTCAGTGGCTCACACCTGTAATCTCAACACTTTGGGAGGCCAAGGTGGGTGGATCATCTGAGCTCAGGAGTTCAAGATCAGCCTGGCCAACATGGTGAAATCCCGTTTCTACTAAAAATACAAAAAATTAGCTGGGTGTGATGGTGGGTGTCTGTAATCCCAGCTACTCAGGAGGCTGAGGTAGGAGTATCTCTTGAACCCAGGAGACAGAGGTTGCAGTGAGCCAAGCTCATGCCATTGCACTCCAACCTGGGCAACAAGAGCAAAACTCTGTCTTATAAAATAAAAAAGACGATCAAGAAAAAAAGGCTCCTAGACTCATAAAATTTAAAGAAATCTAGGAGCTTACCTAGGCATTCTTCCAGTTGCAGGAACTGAGGCCCAGAAAAGGGAAGTGGCTTTCTCAGCTTACATGACCAGTGAGGGAGACAGCCAGGTGCTATGGAATAAACATGGACTTTGGCATGGTAAGACCGAGGTTTAGATGGAGACTGATTTAATGCCACTTGAGTGGTATTGGGAAAGTCTCTCTAAACTTGTTTCTCTATCTGAAAATGAAAGTAATGACACCTGCTTCACAGGGATATTCTGAGAACCAAATGCAATAACTCTGGAAGAAAATTTCAATGTTAGTTGTTATTATCACCAACAGAGTGGGGCCAGAACCCAGGGCCATCATTTTTGCTCCATTTTCTTAACTCCTCCTCCTTGCCCATACAGGAAAAATCCACTGGAAAAGCCAGCAGCAAGAATAAATAAATATACAAATAGTGGCCGTATACAGTGGCTCACACCTGTAATCCCAGCACTTTGGGAGGCCAAGGTGGGTGGATCACCTGAGGTCAGGTGTTCAAGACCAGCCTGGCCAACATGGCGAAACTCCATCTCTACTAAAAATACAAAAAAAATTAGCTGGACGTGGTGGCAGGCACCTGTAATCCCAGCTACTCGGGAGGCTGAGGCAGAAGAATTGCTTGAGCCCAGGAGGTGAAGGTTGCAGTGAGCCGAGATTGCGCCATTGCACTCCAGCCTGGGTGACAGAGCAAGACTGTGTCTAAAAAAAGAAAAAAAAATACAAAGAGCCCAGAAATATGAACCCAAAAATCGCAATTTGGTATAATTAACTTGTACATAATTTCTGCCCTCCTAAGGATTTGTGGACAGAATAAATATTATTTGCTTATTCACTCATTCATTTATTCTTTCCACAAATATTTATTGAGCATCTACTAGTGACAGGCATAGGCACTGCTCTGGACACTGACAACAGGGCAGTGAGTACAGCAGTCAAAAACTTCCTCGTGGAGTTTACATTCTTCTTTGTTTTTACTTTTTTTTTTTTTTTTTT